AAAAAATGCCCCCAGTTGTGAAATCTCCCATCCGAGGAAAAAGACACTTACCATTAATCCTATCTATACCCTTCATGATTTCTGGTCCCCTAACACGACAGACAAGTGTAAAATATAGGAAATATAAGCCAGATGTAGCAATTTTAAAAGATTTATTTCTCTACATCTACGTATCATGTTCACTGCCATTCAACAGCACACACAAGCATCTTGGAGAGACACCTTCCCAACTAGAGAATGTGCACAACTACAAAAAAGCATCCTGCAATGTAACCACCAAGAGAAAACACAATGCTGGACCAAACAGCATCTAGACTTGCAACTGAAAACAGAAACCTATTTGTTCACATCAAACATCTAACTAACCACCCAATTTTTTTTTAGAAATGAAAATAAAGTACCTTCAAAGCAAAGTAGCTAACAGTCGGATATATAGATACAAACTGTCAGGGGCTACAAATATCTGTAAATATTTTTGGTAGAATGATGAGTTTATGAATGTAAATTTACACGTAACATTAGTGGCATATGCATAGAATGTTACGTGCATTAAAAATTAGTTGTGGGTTCAGACAATTACAGGGTTACTGTGAGCCACTGCAGCCAGCTGCTAGCAAGGAACCTCCAGTACAACCTGGGCTTTGGCCTCAGTGAGAATCTACCTGCCATGAGGATCTACTTGAATAGGCTTCCCACTGCTGCCGCGAACGCTTCCCAATGCTGCCAAAACAGAATCAGACATAGATAGGAACATAAAAACCGAAAGAACTGCGGGTGCTGTAAATCAGGAACAAAAACAGAAGTTGCTGGAAAAGCTCAGCGGGTCTAGCAGCATCTGTGAAGAAAAATCAGAATTAATGTTTCGGGTCCGGTGACCTTTCCTCAGAACAGATAGTAACATACCAGATAACTGAACTGTGTGGCCTTTACAACATTTTCTCCATGTACTTTCTTCAAGTCTGTCTCTGTGCAATCCAGGAAGATTCCATTCCATATAAGCACGTTATTTCAACTTTCTTATTAAAGCTACTTTTTGCTTCCCTGTTTTACACTCTGGCTCCCCACTACACACCTGAACAAATGCATGGACTCACACGCATACATTAGCCCGTTGCCACACAGACATGCACACACTCAGGCATGTTCACACACAGGAATACTGACATGGAACGTAACATTTTATTGTTTCTTAGATGATAGAACTGATTAAGAAATGTGTTCGCCACTACTGGTATTCTTCAGGTCAAAAAACAAATTCAAATTGTTCTCTGTAGAAATTTGTAAACAATATTGTATATTTAAATACACAACTTAAAGGGAGCATTGGTTGTGCATGGCCTGTTTGTTGCCTGCACAGTACTTTTCAATTATTGGTTGGCTTCAAGTAACTTAGAGGAAACATGGCTTGCAGTTATATCATGTCGTTCACAACCACAGCAATTCCTAAAGTGCTTTGTGGCTAATTTGGTAGGTTTTATTTTACGAAGTGGTGTTAGCCACTGTATTAATGTGGAAAAATACACCTTCACTTTGCTAACAGGAAGGTCTAAAAACAGAAATGAAAAACTGTCATATTAGTCAAAACTCCAGGGAAAATTCTTTTTCTCTTCTTCAAAATAGTGCCGTGATATTTTTTATATCCATTACAGGATACAACTTTGATTTAACATTTAACACTTACACATTTGTACCCTTGACAGGCAGCACTCTCTCAGTACGGCATAATGTATCAGTTTGGATTTTTGTATCAATTTCTCTACATTAGGGTTCTGAGTTATATGGAATGGAATCTTCCTGGATTGCACAGAAATAGGCTTGAAGAAAGTACATGGAGAAAATGTTGTAAAGGCCACACAGTTCAGTTATCTGGTACGTTACTATCTGTTCTGAGGAAGGGTCACCGGACCCGAAATGTTAACTCTGTTTTCTCTTTCACAGATGCTGCCAGACCTGCTGAGCTTTTCCAGCAACTTTGTTTTTGTTCCTGAGTTACAGCATCTGCAGTTCTTTTGGGTTTTTTTTCCTCTACATTAGGACTTGAATCTACTTGCTTCTGATTCAAAGGCAAAAATGCTACCATTGAGTAAATGCTGACACCTCAAAAGAAGGCGAATTATTTTTCACTTCATCACCCACAAGGATACTGTCTATTTGTAAGGTATGTGGAACATTATTTGTTCCAGTCCTATTCGGGCCGCATCCACAACTCTTTCTCTGCTACATTAATAATGTCTTTGGTTCTGCTTCTTGCTCTCATCCAGAATTGGAAAAATTCATCAGCTTGGAAAAAAAGTCATATCAGACTCTGAAACATTAACTCTATTACTGTCTTCGCAGATGTTCCCAGACCTACTGAGTATCTCCAGTATAGGGAAGGAGCAGTCACTTTATTGGGAGTTTTCTATAGACCCCCCAAAGCAACAGAGACACTGAGGAACAGATTGGGAGACAGATTTTGGAAAGGCGTAGAAGTAATAGGGTTGTTGTCATGGGCAACTTCAACTTCGCTAATAAAGACTTGGAACCTCCTAAGTGCAAATGGTTTGGATACAGCAGATTTTGTCAGGTGTGTCCAGGAAGGATTTCTGACTCAATATGTAGATAGGCCAATTAGAGGGGAGGCCATATTGGATTTGGTGCTTGGCAATGAACCAGGTCAGGTGTCAGATCTCTCGGTGGGAGAACATTTCGGTGATAGTGACCACAACTCCCTGACCTTTACGATAGTCATGGAGAGGGATAGGAGCAGACGGTATGGGAAAGTATTTAACTGGGGGAGGGGGAATTACAATGCTATTAGGTAAGAGCTACGGAGCACCAATTGGGATCAGATGTTCTCAGGGAAATGCACGATAGAAATGTGGAGGTTGTTTAGGGAGCAGTTGCTACAGGTACAGGATAGGTTTGTCCCACTGAGGCAAGGAAAGGATGGTCAGGTGAAGGAACCTTGGATGACAAGACAAGTTGAACACCTAGTCAAGAGGAAGAAGGAAGCTTACTTAAGGTTAAGGAAGCAAGGATTGGACAGGGCTCTAGAGGTCTACAAGGTAGCCAGGAAGGAACTGAAGAATGGACTTAGGAGAGCTAGAAGAGGTTATGAGAAAACCTTGGCAGGTAGGATCAAGGAAAACCAAGGCTTTCTATACTTGTGTGAGGAACAAGAGCATGGCCAGAGTGAGGGTAGGGCCAATCAGGGATAGTGGAGCGTACTTGTGTGCGGAGTTAGAGGAGGTAGGGGAGGTCCTTAATGAATACTTTGCTTCAGTATTCACCTGTGAGAGGGACCTTGATGTTTGTGAGGACAGCATGAAACAGGCAGATATGCTCGAACAGGTTGATGTTAGGAAGGAGGATGTGCTAGAAATTTTGAAAAACATGAGGATAGATAAGTCCACTGGGCCAGACGAGATATACCCAAGGTTACTATGGGAAGTCAGGGAGGAGATTGCTGCCCCTTTGGCGATGATCTTTGCATCCTCACTGACCACTGGAGTAGTACCAGAAGATTGGAGGGTGCAAATGTCATTCCCTTGTTTAAGAAAGGGAATAGGGATAATCCTAGAAATTACAGACTGGTCAGTCTTACTTCTGTGATGGGCAAATTATTGGAGAGGATTCTGAGAGATAGTATTTATGATTATTTGGAAAAGCACAGTTTGATTAGAAATAGTCAGCATGGCTTTGTGAGGGGCAGGTCATGCCTCACAAGCCTCACTGAATTCTTTGAGGCTGTGACAAAACACATTGATGAAGATAGAGCAGTGGATATGGTGTATATGGATTTTAGCAAGGTTATGCTGCAGCACTACAAAACTCTGGTTTGACCACATTTGGAATATTGTGTTCGGCTCTGGTCACCTCATTATAGGAAAGATGTGGAAGATTTAGAGAGGGTGCAGAGGAGATTTACCAGGATGCTACTTGGACTGGAGGGTAGGCCTTATGAGGAAAGGTTGAGGGAGCTAGGGCTTTTTTCATCGGAGCGAAGAAGGATGAAAGGCAACTTGATAGAGGTGTACAAGATGATGAGAGGCATAGATAGAGTGGATAGTCAGAGACTTTTTCCCAGGACGGAACTGACTATTACAAGGGGGCATAATTTTAAGGTGATTGGATGAAGGTATAGGAGAGATGTCAGAGATAGGTTCTTCACACAGAGTGGTGGGCGTATGGAATGCACTGCCGGCAGTGGTAGTGGAGTCAGATATTTTAGAGGCATTTAAGCGACTCTTGGATAGGCACATGGAGGATAGTATAACGTAGGGTGTGCAGGGTAGATTGATGTTAGTAGGATAATAGGTCGGCACAACATCGTGGGCCGAAGGGCCTGTACTGTGCTGTACTGTTCTATGTTTTATGTTCTCCATACTTGTTTCATTTTTCTTTTTCTTCTTATACTCTGAAAGGACAGATTCTGCTCCTACATTTTGATGTTCAATAAGTTGTGGACAATATGCTCTTTCATGGCCACACAGTAAAACAGTGTTGGCCTATTACCTTGCTCCCACTCCTCCTACCCGTAGCCTACACTCACATTGAAAAGGGGCATAGAAAACTGTACCCAAATGGAGATTTCCTTGACAAAAATGTTTGGGTACAACATGGATTTTGACACAAACATTAGTCTTAAAACTCAAAAAGTCATTTCTTAATTTCACAGCATTATCAAAATAAAATTATTCAACACGGATTGCTATGAAATAAAATGAAAGGTTCATTTTCTAAGTTATCCATAGAATTTACTAAGTACAAACATAATATAGTCCCACCTATTCACATACCTAGATTAAAATATGTAACCATTATTTTGTAATTATTTTCCTTTGTACACTGTGTTTTCATAGAGCTCAAACCACTTCTCAAAATTCTTTGAACATTTAAGTCAATGATACAATCTGGCATGAATCCAAGTTCCTTTGCCTCCTCCATTCAACCTGATGCTTAAACAGTACGCCTGGAGGTTTGGAGTTTTGTAGTTAGCATAATCAAAGCTATCTTACCAGATGTTTGGCTTCTTGTGACATTCTGCAGATATAACCCACTCTTGAACAGGTACAGAACTTCCTCTAGCTGAGTCAGTGTCTCGTCTATACCCCAGTGTAACTCCCCTACAAAACAAACAATGTTTCAGTTAAATGTTTTCTTGTATCCATCAATCATTGAGTACAATGTGACTTTCTCTTTCTATTTTAGCTTCCCAAAATGGCGATGCTGCTCTAGTTTCCTCTCATCCTGCTTCTGTGCCCCTGCATTCAAACTGTATTAAACTCAATACTCATTGTATTCATTGTAATAACTAGCTAGTTTTTCTATTCTTCCACAGAACCTTACAAACTAACAAGATATTTAATCACTACTTTCTGATTTCCATTGCCTTCCATTTTTCTCATCATCGCATTGTAGACCTCAGACTTTCATCTAGGCTTTTCAATTCAAGAAATCAAACATACATCTGATGTTCTGGGCTATGGAATGGCATGGGTTGGGGGGATGGGGGTGGTGTGGTGGGTGGAAGCTACAAAATACGTTCACCCTGTCACTCCTGATCTCAATTATACCATTGTTTGGCCAAGCACAAAAGAGTGCAGGCACATCTTCACAGTAGGAAACAGACAACAGAGTATTAGAAAGTAAATTCATGCTCTTTCTTAACTGTAACATGGCATTTGACATAGTTTTGATTTAGGTAGTGAAGGTACACTAAATTAAGCAGACAACAAGAATTAAAATAGGGGAACTAGGCAGTTATAAAAATACCACATACGATGCTCAGCGCTTTACATGACTTTCAATGAAATATATTCGCGCAGTATGTATGTCACAAGCCATTGGTTACAACTGGAGGCACGGTTAAAAGCCTTTTGCTATAACAGTTGCATTTGGTTGTCTAATTTACAACTAACACCATATGCAGTGTTTGGCTAAGCTGCAATTCCAGAATGTGCTTATTATGTTGATGTATTGGGGATATTATAAGGTTTAGGGATTTTGAGATATGAAATCCTTTCAATTCAAATATATATATTATATTTTTAAATTTATAACAAAAGGGTCCTTAGTTGTGTTTTACAGTAATTACAACTTGTAAAACTTACCAATGCATTATTAATGAACTTGAGTGTTCGATTGGCACTACAAGCAGGGTATCCAATAATATTATCTATTCTTTCACAATAATGTCTATCTATAGGAGGAAGTGAGTCCCATCTCTACACATTTTGACATGACAAATTCTTCTCCCAACCAAGCTGGTGTGTAGGCGGGGTGGCAAGGGTATGCCAAAGTACAGTGACAAAATGGCATTGAATTCTACTTTCTTCTCCCTCACTCCCATAATGGCATAGCCCACCATCTTCCACCTGGGAAACTGGCTGAGAAATGGGTTTGAATTCATGGGACATTGGTACCAGCATCTGTGAAAGAGGGAGCTTCCCGATGGGATGGGCTCCACCTGAATCATACTGGAATCAGAGTCCTGGTGAATTGCATACCTAGGGCATACCTTGATAGAGTTTTAAATAGTAGCTGCAGGGATGAGGTTTAAAATCAAAAGTGAAGGGGAACATTGGACTATTGGTTAGTGATGGGGTTGATTGTTAACAGTGAATAAAAGGAAGGGCAAAATATGTGAACGTTATATTGTACCAGGAAACAATAAAATTGCAGGGAAACTTGATAATACAACAAGATTAAAGGCTTTGTATGTAAATGCATGAAGCACTGGGAATAAGGTGGATGAACTGATGGTACTAATCGAGGTAACTCAAAGGACTTTAAACTAGTAAAGGTGGGGAGGGCTCAGGAGAGGTTATTAATATTTCCAGAATAAGTAAAAGGACAGAGAGTATGGAAAGGGTCAGGAATCTACTTTCAGGTACAGAAAATAAGGGGACAACTATGAGAAGGATGGCAGTCAATGGTTGACTGAGGGTGTTGTAATTACATGCATGCAGTATACAAAATAAGGTAAATAAGCTTGTAGTGCATCTTAAAATTGGCAGGTACAATGTTGTGGGCATCACAGAGATGTGGCTGCGAGGGGATCAGGGCTGGGAACTAAATATCCAAGGAGACGTGAACCATCAAAAGGACTGGCAGGTGGGCAGAAGGAGTGGGGTTGCCTTGTTAGTAAGAAGTGGATTTAAATTGATAGTATGTGATATAGAGTCAGAAGGCATAGAATCTGTGTGGATTGAGTTGAAGAACCAAAAAGGAAAAAAGACCCTGATAGGCGTTATGTACAGGCCTCCTAACAGTCGTCAGGATGTGGGGTAGAAAATAAATTGGGAGATAGAAAAAGAATGTAAGAAAAGCACTATTACAATAATCATGGGGGACTTCAATATACAGTTGGGCTAGGAAAATCATGTTGGTTGGAGATCTCAAGAAAAGGAATTTGTGGAATGTCTATGAAATGGTCTTTTGAACAGTTTGTGTTAGAGCCACTAGGGAACAGGCAATTTGGGATTTGGTGATGTGCAATGAGGCAGACTTGATTAGGGAGTTTAATGTGAAGGAAACCGTTGGGGGTAGTGATCATAATACAATAGCATTCACCCTGCAGTTTGAGAGGAAGAAGGTGGAATCGTATGTAATGGTATCACAATTCAGTAAAAGGAACAACAAAGACATGACGGAGGTGCTGGCCAGAATTTATTGAAAGGGGCGCCTCACAGGGAAGATAGTGGAGCAGCAATGGCAAGAGTTTCTGGGGGTAATTCAGGGGGCACAGAAGAAATTTATCACAAGGAAGAAGCAACATCTGAAGGGGAGGACAAGGTAACCGTGGCTGACAAGGGAAGTCAGGGACAGCATGAAAGCAAAAGAAAAAGCATACAAAGCAGTGAAGATAAGTGGGAAGCCTTTAAAAACCACCAGAGGACAACTAAAAACGCAAAGGTGGGGGAGTGGAGGGAAGGGGAGAAGATGAAATATGAGGATGCGGTAACTAATAATATGAAAGAAGATTGAAAGAATGGGGTAAAAGGGGTCTTTTTCAAGATGGCAGATGGTGACTAATGGAGTTCCGTAAGGGTCAGTGTCGGAACCATAACTATTCACATAATGCCTTAATGATCTGGAGAAAGGAACTGAGGACTTTCTTGCTAAGTTTACAGATGACACAAAGACAGGTGGAGGGACAGGTAGTGTTGAGGATGCAGGGATACTGTAGAAGGACTTGGATGGACCAGGAGAGTGGGCAAAGAAGTGGCAGATGAAATACAATGTGGGAAAACGTGAGGTTACGGACTTTGGTAGGAAGCATAGAGGCATTTTCTAAATGGGGAAGTACTTCAGAAATCTGAAGCACAAGGGGACTTAGGAGTTTTAGTTCAGGATTCTCTTAAGGTTAACATGCAGGCTGAGTTGGTAGTTAGGAAGGCAAATGCAACGTTAACATTCGTTTTGAGAGGGCAAGAATACAAGAGCAGAGACATACTGCTGAGACTCTGGTCAGTCCACATTTGCAATATTGTGTGTAGTTTTGGGCTCTGTATCTACGGATGAAATCCTGGCCTTGGTGAGGATCCAAAGGAGTTTACAAGAATGATCAAGGATGAAGGGCTTGTCATACGAGGAGCGGTTGAGGACTCTGGGTCTGTACTCAATGGAGTTTAGAAGTATAAGGGGTTCGCATTGAAACTCACAGAATACTGAGGCCTGGATAGAGTGGACATGGAAAAAATGTTTCCACTAGTAGGAGAGACTCAGACCCAAAGACACTGCCTCAGAGTGAAGGGATGACCCTTTAGAACTGAGATGAGGAGGAATTTCTTAAGCCAGAGGGTGATGAATTTGTGGAACTCATTGCTGCAGAAGCTGCGGAGGCCAAGTCATTGAGCATATTTAAGTCAGAGATAGAAAGGTTCTTGATTAGCAAGGCAATCAAAGGCTACGGGGAGAAGGTAGGAGAATGGAGTTGAGAAACATAATCAGCCATGATTGAGCAGACTCGGTGGGGTGAATGGCCTAAATCTGCTCCAATGTCTAATGTTCCAATGTGATGACAAGAACAGTCTCAAGTGCCACTGTATGTGCCAATGAAAGGAATGGTTTAATAGTTCCTTTTTACTGTGGTGTCACGCACAAAAGGTCAAAATGTTTATGACAAGATGCATTTATGGTTATGTTGGAAAGACTGAAACAAGTTTGCACCTGTTTTGCAGCAAGCAAGTATTGTTTGAAATACCAACGCCCTGATAAGTACTATAAAGGCTATATCTAATCCACAGGATCCAATTACTGAACGGGCCATTTCCAAAGAATTGGACTTCATACAGGTAGAAAGTTGCATATTTTGTTCTATAATCAGTGCGGATCTAAAACCACCATTGAGTGAGAATGAATCGTTCTAGCTACATTTTTCTTTTAAACTTGTAATTAAAACAGGATATGAACATTATAGGCTGGTGAAGCCTGTAACTCATTCGTTATGTGTTAAAAGGAGGATTTAAATTGGTACTTAGGACAGGAATGTGGAGTTGAATTTTCCCATTTCCAGTTATGGGTGAGTGAGTTTTGTGGTGTCCAGTCTAACATGATCCAGGGACAATTTCCAATTTTCATCTCAGCAATTATGCAACCAAGTTGTTGGTAGATTTTTGTTGGAATCCATGTGGCAACCAAGGGGGAAGTGCTCCCCTCTGGCAAGACTTTCCATCTTCCACACCTCTGTTGACATATTTAAAGGCCATCTGCACACCACTAAAGACATTGCCAACCGGAAATAACTTCTGTCACTGCAGTGTGCTCAATCCTCAAAATGTCTCACAGGAAAGTCAAGCCAGCTCACCACATGCAGGGCAGAGGTCCAGAGTTCTGGTGGATGTGATAGTGGATAGGAGGGCAGTCCTTTTCCCTGTTGACCACCAAAGGTGACCAGTCAGCCCAAAAATAATTTGTTCCATGGCTCACTGCTATGTTCGGAGTGAAAGGTGGGTACAGCAGTGCTGGAAGAAAGTCAATGATATTCTGTTCTTATGCATCTATATAATACTTTCAAATTCCCTTCAAGTATAAATGAAAACTTTGGGATTATTCCATGACTCAATCTACAAGTTCATTCTTTGAAAGGGATTGAGTCTCCAATTCTTTTGATTTCAAACATAAGAGAAACTATATAACTCACTGGGACCAGGCCTTTGTATGTGTGCGTTGTGAGGACAGTCTTACTAATACCAATTAAATGCAAAACAAAATTTGGTGGAATTGTTAATGGAGAGGAGGATGTAAACAGGCTTCAGGTCAATTTAGACAAGTTAACTGAATGGGCAAATGCATTGCAGATGCAGTATTAATGGATAGATGTGAAGTTATCCACTTTGGTAGGTAGGAAAAACAGAAATTATGCAACCGAGCTACTGGGTGCATTCTTGTTGGAATCTCACATGGCAAGACATCAGTTGAACGGCAATTAAATAGTGATAACTCAGGAAATGATGTACAAAGGGACCTGGGTGTCCTTGTAAAATGGTCACTGACAGCAGGTACACAAGTACAGCAAGAATTAGGAAGGTATTGCAAGAGGATTTGCATGTAGGAGAATGGAGGTCTCACTGCAGCTGTGCAGGGCCTCAGTGTGACCACACATGCAATATTATATATAAACCGAAAGAACTGTGGATGCTGTAAATAAGGAACAAAAACAGAAGTTGCTGGGAAATCTCAGTAGGTCTGGCAGCATCTGTGAAGAAAAAATCAGGGTTAATGTTTCGGGTCCGGTGACCCTTCCTCAGAACTGGTTCTCAGAACAATTCTGAGGAAAGGTCACCATACCCGAAACGTTAACTCTGATTTTTTTCTTCACAGATGGAATATTATGTGCTGTTTTAGTGTCCTAATCCAAGAAAATATAAACTTGCCATAGAGGGAGTGCATCAAAGGTTCACCAGACATATTTTTGGGATAGTAGCATTGTTGTAAGAAGAGGGATTTGGTTGTATTCACTGGAATTTAGAAGAATGAGATGGGATCTCATTGAAACAGATCAAGTTCTTTCTGAAGAAGGGTCCAGACCCAAAACGTCCGCTTTCCTGCTCCTCTGATGCTGCTTGGCCTGCTGTGTTCATCCAGCTCTACACCTTGTTATCTCAAGTTCTTATGGTGCTTTGTTTCTACTATAAATGATTTCCTCATTAACAAAGGTGGCTGATCTGTAGAAACATCACCACTGGAAGTTCCCCACCAACCAACACACCATCCTGACATGGTGCTACATCATTATTCCTTCATTGCCATTGAATCAAGATCCTGAAACTCCATTTCTAACAGCACCTTCAGTGTCCCTCACTCCAAGGACAGCAGTGGTTCAAGAAAATAACTCACCACCACCTGCTCAAAAGCAATTAGGAAAGGGCAATAAATGCTGGTCTGGCCAGTGATGTCCATATTCCATGAATGAACAAAAACAAAATTAACAAATGGCTGTAGTGCCTCAAATTTAAAATATGTGGCATTGTGTTTAATTCTGGGTCTCCTCCAGCCTGTACAATTCCATCCCCTTCTCCAAGTTCTTTGCTTAAATCTCTACCTCAGCCCTTTGAGTTCTCCCATTCTTTCATACCTGAATAACCATAAGGATATACCATTCCGAGAGTGTGGGAGAAGGATGTTTTATTCAATACCTCTCGCTGCTGAACCTTTAGTATGTGACTCAACAATAGATGGTAGCTCACCCTGATTTCAATACCCACCCAATCCCCACCATCCCACGCCTCCACCTCCACCTCCACCTGGGTTGAGAAATGGATTTGTAATATCAAGCCATACTATGCTATGCGCTGGACCTCCTACCCACAGTACCAAATTAATATTCAAACTTATTAATGAACTATCCATGATGCAACAACATAATGATGACGGTCAATTTAGACAAGCTGACTGAACGGGCAGACAAATCCATTTCATTTGGTGTAAATTGGAAAAAGACCAAAACAAGACGGACTGTCAGAGCAGAAATCATTAACTGTAGTGGTCTTAACCAACAGTAACCTTTGATTTATGATAGTCTGATTATGTTCCTGGCAACCATGCCTGCAGTAGACTAGATCTCACACAATGTAACTGCACCTTTATCACCTTTGTCCCAGCATTAATCTCTTCTTCTTTAAAACTCTCCTTATAATGCATGTCTTTGGCCAAATATTTTCGTCATGTTTCATAATTTCTCCATTGACTTATTGCTTAGTTTTCTCCTCGTCCTCTGTAAAACACAGTTTTTTTTTCTGAACTGACAGCAGATAAATAAAGGTATGTTATCAGCGGCATTGCATGCTGTTGCTAAATTGCGCAAGCTAAATCAGGAGATCAAATTAGATAAAATACAAAGGAGCAGCTGGAAAGCAATCAAAACAACATTCATGGCTGTAAGTGCTTTGTTCTGTGCATAGAAATATATTCAATAAATAAAGGGTTTATATGATCATAAAATATATAAATCATAAAGCTTTATTAATAAACTTGAATGCTTCATCGAGACTATAAAGCCAAATTGCTTTTTCTTTATTATTCCAGCTACTTATACCTTCTGTCCTGATCTATTGTAATTACAGAATTCTGAAACCACATTTATCCAAACCATTTCTAAATCTTTATTATGTAAACTGAAACCTTCAAACAGAATAAAGCCAGTGTAATGAATATTACTATTTCATACCTGTGGCATTCACTACAGTATCCAGCAGTGACCGCAGACTTGATGGAGCACTATGCGGCAAGAGGTAGGTAAAGAAAAACCTGCAATGTAAGTAGATATTGAGCTGTGTTAGACTCCTCCTTAATGGATAAGAGATTTATCATTTTACTCCTCTGCCCACTTCTGATCTTGCCATTCCTGGAATCTCTAGTCTGAAGGCCAATCAGCCAATTTTCATCTAAACATCTGCCAATGACATGTGCTATGAATCAGCATTTGTTACCAATAATTCTTACATCCTATTAACAGATTATCAATTTTAGTTTAAAAGCTAGGATTTATGCTTATTTGCAAATATGAGATTGGAGTCAATGGGTGTAAAATTGAACGTTTGCAGAGGTGCTCAATTGATGGAATTATGTTAGTGGAAAGGGAAATTGTGTAATATGTAGAACAAATAACCAATCTACAATGGCTCATTTATTGCCTCTACAAAGTTAAGATTTACTTTTATTCTTTTACAGATCAGTTCCATAAACCTTATTCAGAAATTACCTTGTTAATATATTAGAAATAAGTGGAGTTAAGAGCAAGCTTAGGTGAAACTACAAAAAGACAGTAACAAATTGGCAGCCTGTTATTACAAATTGCCCAATCTTATTTTCCATTGAAGTCACTTGGCTGGGATATAAAACAAGCTGCTTTTTCACATTTTCACTGTATGGCAAGTGCCAACTCATGCCCACTACGTTTTCAGTTATTTTGTGTTTTATGAAATTGAAAAGCAAGTTACTAAAGCTTAGAGTTTTATTTCAACATCCACAGTTTTTTTTTTGTTTTGTTTTAGTATCATTTCCCTCATATGTTTCATAAGAGCATATAACAGGGTAAAGGCACAAATGTAGATGTTTAGCCTGCCAACCTGGTGCAAACTGTCTTTGTGATTCAGCCACTGCAATAAAAATAATTCAGTTTCAATTTCCATTAAGATCAATGGAAACAAAATAAAATCAAAAGCAGGCTGTCAAACTACACAGTCAATTTTAAGGGCAGCCCACCATAGCTTCCTTTTGGGCCTAGAAAACACTTTGCTCCACTTGGCCCAAATTATAAGTTTCCTAAGCTAATTTGTGAGCCATCACCTGGTTAGACAGCTAAACTGCTTGCTCACTTTCTATCTAAAAGTGGTATCCGCTAAAGGCATTATTCTAATTTCCAATTGTCCTCTTCTTGTTTTTCAGGTGAAAATGGGCAGATGGCTGGGAATTGAACATTGGACCCATGATGATATGATACATTTTGTAGAAAGAATAACCAAATTGTCAACATCATAGAAACAATGATTAGCCTATAAATTAGGCTTCAGAACATTCAATTTGCTTTGGACTAAGTATATATTATACCACCATGCAAGGATTTTCATAGAAGAATTGCAAAAGAAAACGACAGTTCTTTCATGATCTCAGGGCATCCCAAATTGCTAGTACAATCAACCTAGTAAATACTTTAGAACTGCTTTAACATAGGAAACACAGCAACAGATTTGGAGAAAATAAGTTCCAACAAACAGTGATGAATTAAACTCATAATCTGCCTTAGGTGTAGGTTAAGGGAAAGGTGTTGGACAGGATACTGTGAGAACACTTCTGTTCTTCCTTGAATCACACGGTTACATCAATCTTCAGTTTCAACATCTCGGCAACTCCACCATTGAAACACCCCCACTTCAATAAAGTGTCAAGTTAACATTATATGCTCAAGTCTATGACACTGTTTCCTGTTTATGAAAGAGGGTAGGGATAACAGCAAATCACTGACAGCCATTTATTACAGTTTGATTGTCTCTTCAGTTCATTACTAGGTAAATTAGTGTTGAATTTATTTTTAATCCCCACATAATATTCAAGAATTATGCCCCCGGTGATATGGCTTTTGATCAGTATTATTCTCAACTCCAGACACAATTCCCCCTTCAAAATCACCTTTTGACATTTCCACAGCAGTTTTGTGGTAATTCAAGAAGTCAGAACATTTAGCAGCAGTTTCTATAGCAGTTTTTAGTTATAGAACGTGCATGCCCATGTTCTACGTACCACATGAATTCAACAATATTGTGCATGGTAATATTCAACATATTGACCCGATAACATCTTGTCGGGCCAGGTTTCTGTCCTGAAATATCTGTAACATTCTCATAGCAATGCTCGTGTTAGTGGCTAAGTGATGCTTTGTGTAGCTTGTATGTTTCTGAAAGGAACTGAGTAGGGCAAACTGTACCTATCTGCATGAATTGGTGATTTAACACATTTTTTGATTTTGTCAAGATTATGACTGAACTGTATAAAAACATTGGGATCATAGCAAACTCTCTCACTATTCATTGCTTTTCTTCTCTTGTCATAATAAACACTAAGCCCATATCAGACTGCATCACGTTTGGACATATTATCCCTTCTGAGAACCACAGAATGAAGTCAATTACACATGTTCTTCACAAAGTGGAATGTAGTTTCAAAGCAATTTTGCATAGTGATGAAACTGACAGTCAGTTTCAGACAATAGCAGTGGTTGCAATCTGAGCTCTGCTGACACATTCAGCAGTGAAAGAAGCAATTACCTATATGCGTTGTAGAGATTCCGTTTTTCGTTCATGCTTTGACATCTGCCCTCCAAGGAACATATTAAAGTGAAATTTCGGGCTGGAAATTCCATAAAACAGTCACTATTGCTTGAGCAGGGTGTTTCACTGATACTGGCATCATCCAAATCCGTCACTTTTAGTTCACCATCAACAATGACAAATTGTCGAGGGCGAAAATCCAACAAAGTCACTGAGCCAAGAGGTGAATGGGCCAAATAGTGTAGTAAGCGTATCAAACTCAAACATATCTGCAATGAAAATAGCACACTTCATTCAATTAGCTTCAGTTTTAAAAAGATCGAAAAAGACAGAGTTCTGTAAAACATCCTCTCACTTGTTCTCCCTTTAACAATAATGTATAAGGAGAAAGTTCAATGGAAATGAGTTATATATAAAGACTAGCTGGTCAACATGACTGATTTTACTTAGACTTTACATGCCTTCACATGCCTAGATGCTCAGTTTTGGTTTCTCTCTGTTGCTACAAACAATTTTTCTTGCTGCAATCCAGTTCCTTCAATGTCACTGCACAATGGACACACAGTCCAGAAAATGGCATTTTCGTGGAACCAGTCTGCATCCCACCCAAGTAGCTACTGTTTGAATACAAACGTCAATAGGTTATTCTGCTTTATACAGCTGTGTCGACTTCTGTCCTCACTTGCAATGTATTTAGCTACATCAGGGTGTGATTAAAAACCCTGGAACCCCAAGTGATGCTCTGGCTAAGACTGGTTACTTTAGCACAGGCTGAAAATTGGACTTGAGACATATTGCTCAGTTAAGAAGACAACCTCAAGGTGTGTTTTTATATCACACTTCTATATCATTTCGCACCTTTAAATATGAAGTGTAGTATAGCAGCAGAACAGAGGAAAGTTCACTACATTTACGTTGCACAAAAGAACACGCACATTTAATGAATCTAAGAAGTGATGTAATTTCATGTGTCTGAGCCCTTTGATTTGTTTGACATGTTGCAATTCAAGTTAATTTGTAAGTTTTGGGAAAAAAAAAATACGCTATGGAAGAAATAACAAGAAGACAAACCACTGTAGGGCTTTACATTTACCTACTTCTGATAAGAAACATGGAAAATCCACAGAGTCCTAGTAAGAGATTGATCTTCAATGTTGTTAGTAATACTAATAAATGAATGGAGAATTCAGGGTAGTCTGTACTCAATAACATCAAAGCACTGGCTCATTGAACGGAACAACTAACATTTGCTTTTGAATTCTAGTTTCATAGAAAGGAGCTTTCTTGGGATGCCAAAGAAAAAGAAAACCCTCTATCTCCCCCCAGCTGGGGCTTCTTGCACCAGTGAATAGTTCGATCCAGAAGAGATCTGAAGAGTACCATTGACAGTATCAATGGCAATGTCTGTTCACTGGATGGGCTTACCATCCTGACTGAAAATACAGGAGGCTTATCGTGGGGAGAAAGTTAAAAGGAAATTAAAGAATTGTTTTCTAAAAAATAAGAAAGCAAATGAAACTTATCTTTGTGTGTTTTTCTCTTGCCCTGAAAATTGCAAGAACTCAGTTGAGAAAGAATCATATTAGGGTCATAGAGTGAAAGAATTAAATTTAATAGATATTATTCACGGCAAATACAAAGCACATCTCTCTTGCCAAGCAGCTTGCTGTGTTTGAGACTTGTCTCTTTCAGGGTGATTTTATATAACATTCGAGGACTTGAGCTACCGAGGAAGTTCAGTCGTATGATGGCACGAAGAGAGGTAGGAAAGTAAGTTGCGAAGAGGACATTAGAAGGCCACAAAGGGATAAGTAAGTGCCAAAGTTCTGGCACATGGAGTACAATGTCAGGAAATGCTAAATTGTCCATTTTGGCAGTAAGAATGGGAATGAAGCATATTAACAAAATGGTGAGAAATTGCAGAGGGGACCTGAGTGTCCTAATATCATGCAGGTATAAGTAATTATTCAAGTTATTAGAATGTTATAATTTTGTGGAGAATTGAATAGAAAATTAGAAAGGTTATGCTTCAGTTATATAGGTAATTGTTGAAATATTTAAAGTACTCTGTGCAGTGTTGCCTCCTTATTTAAGGAAGGATGTAAATACATTGGAATCAATGGGAGAAAGATTTGGACAGGTAAGGTTGTATCCACTGGAATTCAGAGGTACCTTGATTGAAGTATGCAAGATGTTGAGAGATCTTGATGGGATGGATGTGGAAAAGATGCTTCCTCGTGTGGAAGAGCCTAGAACCAGGTGTCACTATTTAAAAAGGGGTCTCCCATTTAAGTTAGATTTTTTTTGTTCCTCACAGGGCATCGTGAACTGGGAACTCTTTTCCTCAAAGGACAGTGGAAGCAGAATCTTCAAATATTTTTAAGGAACAGGGAGTTACAAGGGGGGTGAAATATTATCGGGGCGGATAGGAATGTAGAGTAATCAGATCAGCCGTGACCCTATTAAATGGCAGAGCAGGCGGCTCGAAGGTCCAAGTGGCCTATTCCTGCACCTAATTTGTACATTCTTTTGTTTGAACATGTATTCTGATGTTTCATGAGAAACATGGGAAACATACAGAAAAGCATTATTTTATTTTTAAATGTTGAAGCAATTGGAATGTTAAGTCCCAGTTCCTAAACAAAACGAAGGAGAAATTATCTCATTATGCTCAACCAGATGAAAATAGTTAGGTTTGGCTAACACATTCCTGACTAATTAGAAGATTTAAAAGGGCTACCATATTTACCAAGCAACCATTAATCCCAGGGAACGAAAACTGTTCTGGAAATTAAATTCTTTTGTGGCTGAGGCATTTTCTTTCCATGTTTCCCAGGACTTTTTCCTTCCTCCCCCAACCAGCTTCCCACTCAAAGCTCCAGAGACTCTCATTACTTACTCGGAACCTCTCCTCCCATGAAGTTTGCAGAAGCTGAATCATCTCCAATGGAGACCCAAGCTCTGTGATAGTGGTCAATGTGTCTGCGATGTCATTGCTGTCCTGGTAACAGTAACCATATAGCTGCAGAAAACAAATAAATACAAAGGAAGAAAGAAAACATAAGAAAAGCAGCATGTTTAATCGAAAAAAATGAATGTATACAGGAGAACAGTCTACGTCTAATATTGCTGCAAAGTAACTAATGGATTATCAAAACATTATAAGCATGATATCTGGGATCTTTTATATTGTATTTGACCAAATTTACAGCACAGAAACAGACCATTTTGTCCACGTACCATTGTTTATGCTCCATGAGTCAGTTCTCACCTTAGTTTATCTAATTTCTGCACTTTTCTCCCTCAACTCTTAAAAACAATGCTATTTACTTCAACCAAGCTTTATGGGAGTGAATTCCACATTGTAACCACGAGTTGGGGAGACAGAAACCTGTCTGTCATGTTTCTGTTATGAAATGTTGATAAATGTGAGCATTTTTCACTCCAGTAAAAATAAATCTAAATGAACCCAAACATTTTCATTAAATCAAAGCAATAGGACTGAATTTCTTGGAAATACAGCGACTCTGTATAGTCCTATGATGAAGATTATTTTCACCAATGGCATGCCCTGTTACTTTTGCAGTAAAACCTTTAATGGTAGAAAAATAATCAGGTCAAAGGATTTTTCACTTCCAAAACATAAGGGTTGAACTTGACTGTTACCACTAGCAGAAAAGGGGCAGTGGCTGTCAGTGTAAAAGAAAATCAGAAAGATTATAAAATAGGTGGCAACAGTTAAACCTGACCTCATGTAATTGTGATTTTGGTCTTTATTGTTTCATGAATTTAGTTGCTCCATTGGAGAATTAGGAATATAAACAATCTCAAACAAATTATTTTGAGGGATGATCACTTTTAATTTTGTCAAAGTGAGGGATGACAGTACTTCCCCCTACTGTTTACACCCATTACAAGACTTAAGAATGAAGCCAATTATTACAGAAGTTATATACTGATTAAAACTTCCTTTTCTCAACTCCAACATGTGCCTTAACCCCAATCTCAGAACTGCTTGCTTCATCAGTGTGACATTTCAATTAGCAACACCAGTTTTCTTGCAGGATCTTGAGATACTAAATTGACAGCCTGATGGTTAGTGATAAATTATGGGTAATTTGTGCTTTGCGCTCACAGCAAGTTCACCACCCAATCCCCTATCATTACTATTTCCTAAAGTTTATCCTTGTACAAAGTGGAGTGCAATCTGGGACTATTATACTAGATTTGTACACAATTTATCTCAGTGTTTCTAAATGCTCAGATTTACAGTAAATTCTACACAACACCTTTGATGGCTTGTGGAAAGATACGTTTTAATCAAATGTTTCAAGTTTGCTTCAAAAATAGTGCATCAGCATCAATATACAAACTTGTCAGAACCAAATAAATGTGAACTGTTTAAAAAGATACAGTGAGAACATGAGGGATTCTTAAACTGCATACATAAAGTAAGATTTCAATCTAATAACATTGCCTCAAATTATTAAATAATAAATTCAATTTGAGGAAATTACTTTACCCAACATTTCAAAATCACTTATTTATCAACAACAGTTTAACTTACCCCCAACTTTAGACATGCTTGTGATCTTCGATACTATGCTGTGTAGTATAACCATTACTATTGAAAGAGAAAGTGACACTTTCTATATAAATTATTTTCAGTCTGACTACTGAGATTACAGATTGGAAATTGCTTGCTGCTTTTATCTAATCATTTTAAAACTGATTTATTTTCTTTAATCAGTTCAGTATTTTTGTTATTTTCAAAGATAACAATGAAAATTATATTTTTCAGACAGTACTTTTAAAAAAGATAAATCTGTACCTTTCTGTTCATTTCTGAAAACAGTCCATAGATTTGAATATTTGACCTATTAAATCAAAACTTCAAAATTTGCATATTGCATTTTGCTAACTACTAAATATCCTTAATGCAATGTCTTTTTTATAGCTCTAGGCTAACTTGTTTACCAAAGGTTTAAATAATGAAAACCCAAATCTTGTAGGTTTTTATATATGTGACAACCTCAGTGCAATCTGTCACAGCCCAGTCTCTTAAAAGTCGTTAATTCTTCTAAATAATAGTGACACAACTGCCCCTTCCCCAGAGGGAAAAAAAGAGAAAGGTTAGCCCGACGCACAAAGCTTGACAAGCTCATTGGGATGGAACACAAAGAGAGGACCTTATTAAGCTGTCATCAGTAAGTTAACAGCAAGTATGCACCATCGCCTCGTGAATGAATATGCAAGAAAAATGGGCCCTGTTTTGTTGTGTGAAGTGAATAATAAACAGAATCACTGGACAGAGAATTTCTGGGCAATTCAGAAGCTGTCTTGTGCCAGTCTCTAGCAAGGTTTTAATGCAAGAGTGAGCTTTCCGTATAATTGCTCTCGGTAGAGTCATCTTCCTGAATGTTCGTGAAGAGGAACATTTTATCCTGAAAAATATACACTGGATAAAAATGGGGTTTGCTAATAATGGACGAGGCAGCTTGAAAAATGCTTTAGCCTATAAATAACAAAGTTAGTGGTAACAATTTTATGCTGTTACTGTTCATTTTATTTATTTTATGACACATATTGCTCCATAGGAGGTACAGAGGAGAGCAAAAAGAATGAACTTTAATCTTTTAGACTGAGAAGGGAATCTAGCTTTTAAAAGATATAATGGAACAAGATATAAGTAGATCAAGGTAAAATGGTCAAAATAGATTGGGATGGAACTAAGGAGCATGCCTAGAAAATATGAAGACAAGATGTCAGATTAGGTTGCTGAAAAAGGATTGATCCTATCTGGTAGGTTCTTCATGGAGGTAGTAGGAATGAAAATGCTGTGGTCCATGAAAATTTCTTGCTGGTGAAGAACGTTGGAACAACCATTGCTAATTTGGATAAGACTAGTCCACAGATTTTCTGAGATTGGTCACAGGATGTGTGCTTCCTTTCCTTCTTTCCCCATGTCAATAATACTTACAGAAGGCATTGTGTGAGGATGCACCAATGAAGGGAGAAATGAGAATTGATTGTCCTGGTAATCTTTCATTTACCCTTCAGAAGTGAACAATCCAGCATAATATAAAGCAGAAATAGTGTAAGTTCACTCCATAAGTTAGGTGATCTCAGCCAGTGAGATCCCACCAATAGCCCTTACATCTCTTGGTTGGACAGGCAGAAAGCCAACCAGGATTTCTTCTCCTAGTTCTAGTCAGAGTATTTTGCAAGAGCATGTGTCAAGGGATCAAGCCTAATCATGATGCTTTCTGCTGTCAAGTAGCCTACTGACACTCTGTGTCTAGGCTTACACTTGCAGAGTCATCATGTGGGTATGTTGCAGGGGAATCAACAATACTTCCTAAACTAAACAACATGAGTCTGAACCTTTAACAGAGGAGACAAGAAATTGGGCAAACAGATATAGAGATTGAAAAACAGGTTGTCATTGTGGAGGTAGTACATAGCATCACATGAGATCTAAGAACAGTAGTGCCTTCCATTGACACTGTTAGTGCACTGCAAATGGTTGACATCTTTGAAGATCTGTAAGGACCAGCAAACATCTGAATTGCAATCATTCCTAATTAGCCTGAGCCTCCTCAGATACTGCACTTTAACATGACTCAAGTATGTCAACCACCTTGAATATTAACAGCAATGAATCATATTCCCTGGCTTCAATATATCATTTTCAAGATGTGGACACCACAAGGAATGCTGACTCTCCTTGTCTATTGTGTTTGGCCTCAAATATTGAGGGTGAGCCTCGTGAACTACTACAATCTATTCTTTACAGCAGTTAGATACTACAGAATAGTTTCATAAGTCACTTCAAAGGGAAATTAGTTTTGCGTAGGACTGGGCTCATATTCAGGCTGGACCAAGTGAAGGCAACAAGTATCTTTCCATAAAGAATATTGTTGGACCAGTTGGGTTTTTAACAATGAACTATTTCATGATTACCGATACTGAGAACAGATATTTTAATCTAATTCTAGATATTTGTAATTGAATTCAAATTCTTAAACTGCTGTGGTGAAATCTGATATCCTCTATGCTTCTGCTCAACAGCAGTGATATATACCTCCATTAACTGTTACATACTCTGGAGCAATTCCTCTCTCACACAATTCCCCTATATGATTGGTGAGATTATTAACCCCAAGCCTGACTTTGAACAAAATGCTCACCCTCTGAATTGATTCTATAGGTGCAGAGTAAGTTCCACTCTGATGTTCACTATTCTCCAGGTCCTTTAGAAACAAAGGTATGACTTAATTGTCATTTTCTTTTACACTCATTTTGCATCTAAAATGTAAAATATTGTTTTGATGCTTTCTCCTATCATCGTCTAGCATTTTGTGCATTTTCCCTAAAAAAAATTCAAGGCAGCAATGGAGGCACAATTACCTTTTTCGTGTTGTTTGTAATTTTATCTAAATTGGAAAAGATCCTAGGGAAAAAATATTCCAGTTCATTGCATGATTCAGGGGACCAAGTTGCATGTTCATCGGCTCTACTAAATAATTCTGGTGGGCCCAACGCCTTTTGTCTTTCTGTGCTGTTGGAGCAAGCACACACTACTTTAGCAACATAAATGTTGACACCAGGTTTGTTCTGGGGTGTACCGGAATCTAACAGCATCCGTCTAAATTTGGGCTAGTGATGATGGGATGAGATAGCCTGGCCGGAGAGGATCTCGCACCGTATAATGTAATTGGTCCCAGTAATTGAAGGGGCTGGAATTGCTTGCATTGCTGACATGCACAACCACTTAGCATCGCTGCATGCTGCCAGATAAATTTAAGTTTAAGCAATATCTGCTTTATCCATTCAGGAGCATGTTGAGTTTCCAGCTTTCATTTCGATTTCCCCCCTAGCTTCCTCTCTCACTCGTACGGAAAACAAAACATATCGAACAAAAACTCTCTGAGCCAGCGAGCATCTTCACTATCTTTATGTGACCCCGTGAGTTTATCCTCTTCACCAAACCCACAAAATCTAACCACATGCGATTAATCA